GGAGACAGATTTGGTTTTGATGGGGGCGAGTTGATTGAGACAGGAGGAGAGAGTGCTGTTGTAGTAGTTGGTGAGAACAGTGGGGTCATGGGACAGTGGAGGAGGTAGTATGGAGAGGTGGTTGAGGACGGAGGTAGAAAAGTCAGTTAGGGAAACGGATTTGAGGTTTCTGAATGATATGGTGCGCTTTTCCTTGGGAATGGGGGTAGGGAGGTGGAGGTCGAGAGTGATAGCCAGGTGAGCGGAAATGTTGAGGTTGGTGCTAGAGAGTTTTTCAATGGTGAGACCGGTGGAAAAGACCAAGTCCAGAGTGTGACCGTGGGTGTGGGTGGGGAAGTTGACATGTTGAGTGAAGTTAAGGCAGTCCAAAAGGTCAAGAAATTCAGAGGCATGTTTGCAGTTGGTGTTGTCGATATGGAAGTTAAAGTAGCCAAGGAGCGGTGAGATACGTGAGAGCTGTGTGACAAAATCGGAGAAGTCTGATAAAAATGATCGGTGGAATTTCGGTGGACGGTAAATGACAGCAATGACCAGGGGGGAGGGACCAGGGAATTTGAAGGTGATATGTTCAAAGGACTCAGTGGGTGAGGTGGATATAGTGCTGATTTTAAACTCTGTTTTATGGACTGATGCCACCCCACCACCTCGGCTGGTGAGGCGGGGCTTGTCGATGTAGGTGTAACCAGGTGGGGGGGTGTGGTTGAGTGAGAAGTAGTCCAGGTGTTTGTGCCAGGTTTCGGTGATAAAGAGGAAGTCCAGGTTATTGTCAGTTATGAATTCGTGGAAGACGAGTGCTTTGTTGTTGAGTGAGCGGGTGTTATGTGATATAGTCCGATGTGTTTCTTCTTCGGTATTAGCTATGGTGTTACGGTGATCTGTTGAGTTCTTGTGCATGTCCAGTCTTTATTTCCAATATGTCATCTCTGTATTGTTTCCAGAGAGTGGGTTTGTATTGCCGTGGTGCCGTTTGAATAGCTTTGGTTTTCAAATTCTCTATGAAAAAAAACGCTCATAATTGCGGATAGTGGGTCTCCCATTGCGAAACTTTCTTTTTGTTTGTAGATTGTCGTCCTGTATTTAAAGTACCGTATTTTCACACCTATAAGGCGCCATTAAAAGTCTAAAATTTTCTCCAAAGTGGACAGCACGCCTTATAATGCGGAGCGTCTTGTGTATGCGCTGAGTACCAAAACCTGACAGAGAGCCGACGCGCGTTTATATAGAGAAAAGGCAGAAGTGAATGAGGACAGGCATGCGGCGAAGAAGTCGGCCAATCAGTGAAGGGTGGGCGTGTATATATAATAGAGAGAGAGCGAGAGAGAGAGAGAGAGAGAGAGAAAAAGAAAAGGCTGACGTGAGTGAGGACAGGCATGCGGCGAAGAAGTCCGCCAATGAGTGAAGGGTGGACGTGTAAGTGGATGCTAAAGGCACGCCCCTAGCAGGTACCAGCACCTGTATAAAGTGTGGATATGTGCGTTATTGCAAAACAACTTCGGTTTTGGTTTCTAAGAACCCCCGAAATTACTTCTACAAAGAGACACGCCTACAAAGCTCAGTTCAAGCTTCAAGCCATCGGTTATGCGGAGAAACATGGGAATCGAGCAGCTGCGAGAGAATTTCAAGTCAACGAATCCATGGCTCGCAAATGGAGGAAGCAGGAGAACGAGCTTCGCCAAGTCAAAAAGACGAAGCTGAGTTTCCGTGGACAGAAGGCGAGGTGGCCCGAGTTGGAAGACCAACTGGAGCGGTGGATTGTTGATCAAAGAGCAGCCGGCAGAAGCGTCTCCACAGTCACCATTCGACTGTGTACTCACGTTTGTTCGACTGTGTACTCACGTTTTTTGATCAATCAAAAAACGTGAGTACATTGTAAGCTGGCTAAATAAAATGCAACTGAACTCAGTTTTGCTTCCGTTGCCTTTTTAAAAACGTGTTTTTAGCGTGTATCCGTATGTCTTAGCATGCTACCGTATGCTTCAAGCTAACGTGTTTTTAGCGTGCGTGCACGCATGCCGTATGTTTAAGCTGGCGTATGTTTTACCACTGTAAAACTGCGCCCAATAATACAGTGCGTTTTGTCTATGTGTAAAATACCAAAATAGCACCCGTTAGTGAGACTGCGCCCAACAATACGGTGCGCCGAATGGTTGTGAAAATACGGTAGGTGGATTAGGCAACGAATTATAGAAATGTTATGTCATTGAATGTCAACTTTTGCTTATCTTTCTGTGACTATGTGTAGTGTGACATCTACTTTCACACAGTCAAGAACTCGTCAACACACCCCACCATTCTGCACATCCATTGTTTTTCTTCTATTCTATGATTTTAAAGAAGCGGAGAATCCAAAATCGAAATCACGATTTAAATTTCAATCAATCGTCCATCCCGAATTGCAAGGACACACTTTCAACTGCGTAGCATGGAAAGTGCAGAAGCATCCCATCGTAGTTCTTGTGGAACATTTTAAAAACAATGCTACTTTATTTTTTAAATATTTTTTTCATGGGCGTGGGACTGAGAGGGTGTGGTGGCTATCGCGTAATAATAATGACACACACACTTTAAAAAAGCATCTATTTTTTCCTCACTTACACCCCTCGCGGTCAACTTGGGACCAGTCCGCGGTCCACAACTCGACTGCGATTGACTGGTTGGTCCCTATTGATTTATAACAGCACAAAAAAAAACATGGATGTCCTATGAATAAATCACCTTCAAACTGTCATTTAAACTTTAGATATCTGGAGCAAAGCACTGAACAAGAATATTCACACCCATGGGCCAGCACAGCTTATGCAGAATTCCAGATTTTTTTCCTCCTGATCCGCTCTCTGATTATTATTATTATTTTTATTATTATTATTGTTATTATCATGAGGACACCTTATTTGCTGGTATGGGGATTGTGGGTGCTCGTAGTGGTGTGTCATTGTGCTTTTTTTGTTTTTTGCCCCCTCCAAGCATGCATCTTATTTTGATAATGTATGCACCGGGCTCATTTACGATGTGTTAAACCAGCTTTTTCTCCTTTTAGCCTAACAAGAGAAAGCCTGGCAATCTTGAGCAAAAATTAACTGCCGTTCGAAAACTGTTCAGTGGCCCCAGAATGAGCCTTTTCACAGAATTGTTAACGAAGCAAAAATACACTTTGTTTAGTTCACGCTCACCCAAAATATGAATGAGTTCATGAACATCAGTGCATTGAACTCATCCAGATACAACACCATGTGTCAAACACAGTTATTTAATCTGGACTACCTCCTGTTCGATTGATCTTCCCATTAGGAGGCAGAGTCTGGGGTCTCTGAGGTGGGCTTTCCTATCTCTGGGGTTGATGTCACCGACATTGTTAAAAAGCTCCTCGCTGGCAAGGCCCCCGGGTGGATATAAGATCTGCCCAGAGTTCCTAAAGACACTGGATGTTGTAAGGTTGTCCTGGTTGACATGCCTCTGCAACATCGCATTGACCTATCGGGGACAGTGACTCTAGATTGGCGACTGGTTCCCCATTTTAAGAGAGGGTAGCCGGCGGGTGTGTTCGTACGACTGGGCATCATACTCCTCAGCATCCCTGGTAAGGTCTATTTAGGGGTGCTGGAGAAGAGGGTTTGTCGGGAAGGTGAATCTCAGATTCAGGAGGAGCAGTGTGGTTTTCTTCCTGGCCATGGTACCAACACCCTCGGCAGGCCACTCGGGGGATGCATGGGAGTGCACTCAACCAATCTACATGTACTTTGTGGACTTGGACAAGGCATTTGACCATGTGCCCCTGGGGATCTTGTGGAAGGTGCTTTGGAAGTATGGTGTACAGGGCACCTTAGTAGGGCTGTTCGATCCCTGGTCAACTGGTGTCAGAGTCCGGGCTGCATTGCCGGCAGTAAGTCGGATTTGTTTCCTATGGGGGGTGGACTCCACCAAGACTGCTCTTGTCACTGATTCTGTTCATAGTCTGGGCTTCTCCAGCAACTGCCCCTGTGACATGACCTCGGATAAGCAGGGGAGAGTGAATGAATGAATATCCTTCCTATTCTGTTCTTTTCTGTTCCTATTCCATTCTCTGTTCTAATAATTTAGTTCAATTGGGACTTTTTTTCCCCTGCTCTTTTAATTTAACGCATGCATGAACCACACTGCGCCTAAGGGGCCAATGTCGACACACACTTGAGCAGTGGTTCTTAACCTGGGTTCGATTGAACCCGAGGGGTTCGGTGAATCGGTCTCAGGGGTTCGACGGAGCCTCTGCCATGGAGGCTAAGACATACCCGACTGAATTTGTCAATTAGTTATGACACGCCCGCTTAGTCATCACTGGCTGCAGATGACCACATTTGTCCAATCAGTGCTGCGGGAAATTTAGTTCGCTCAGTAGTCAACGTTTGACTGTCATGGTAGTACGTCGTAAAATTAAAAAAATATATATATTTAAGCCTTTAAATTTTATTTACTCTTTTTTTGTTTTTAATGAATGTGTTTTGTATGTCTTGAATTTGTAAAAAGTCATATTCTTGTTTTTCACAAATGAAGGGTTCGGTGAATGTGCATATGAACTGGTTGGGTTCAGTACCTCGAACAAGGTTAAGAACCACTGCACTAGAGGCAGCACAAGATCAATTAAAAATACACCATTTAAGGTGTAAAAATGGTTTGAAAAGTGAATTACGTTAACACGTTAATTTCGACAGCCCTAATTTGCTGGTGTTGGATCAAAACCTCTTATGTCCAAATTAAGTCGAATTCCTATTTATTCCCAAACCAAAACCAATACTCTTTATCAGTTCCCATGTCATTTTTACAAATCGTTGACTAATGTTAAGTGTTGAAAATGACGTGCTCTGTTTGACAATGCAGTGTGTAAATTAAAAAAAAACAAAAAAAAACATGCTTTTGGGATGGGGGGCGGGGGGGGGGTTGTATTTGTTTCCTGAAAAGTCATGGTTTTGGAGATGCAAGATTTCGCCCGACACCAGCCATTATATTTTGTCTTTCTTCATTTTCAGACTGTTGGAGCTCCATTCCCCTGATGGGCAGCACACAGTGGTACTTCGCTGTAAAGATGCACCCACTGCCAACTCCTGGTTCACTGCCATCCACACCAATATTGCCGCCCTGCTCCTACAGACTCTGGCTCACATCAATGCTTACCTGGGAGCCTCTGCCTCGGTCTCCCCACAGCCTCACCTGAAACACATCGGGTGGTTGGCTGAGCAGGTGGTGAAATAAACAAAAGTTCCACAATATTTTACACACTGCTGATCTTTGAATGCTTACCACAGAAAGAAGATCAGGATGAGAATAATGCACTTTAAATAGATAAGAAACTTTCACTTGTTAACTGTCATTCATAGTTTAAGATTTTTGTGTCAAGAACTACACAGTGAAATTACATTCCCTTTGATGATTGCAATTTGAGTGATTTTTCTTTGGAAAAGTCGAAAATTTAAATACAAAGTGATATCCATTTCGTTTCCAGGGCTTTACGGTCGTGGGACATCTGCACTGTGAGGCTGGCGTGCTAACCAGTAAGGTTAGCCACTGCTTTCCTGTGTGGAGTTTGCATGGTCTCTCAATGCCTGTGTAGGTTTTCTCCGGGTACTCCGTTAAATCCCTAATTCCAAAAACATGCAATGTAGGATAATTGAATTCTTTTGAATTTGTCCCTAGGTGTTATTGTTAGCGCGAATGGTTGTTTATGTGTGCCCTGCGATTGGCCGGCAATCATTTCAGGCTTACTGCTCGTCGATGGTTGGGATAGACACCAGCATACCCGTGACTGTCATTCGGATAAGCGAATCAGATAACGTCTTAAGGTGAAACACCCACAGTTTTAAGGCAGTCGGATAAAATCCCTAGGCAGAATTTTTTTTAACATGCGACCTCAGTAAAAGGCCAAAAATAGGTGTGAATTTGAAAGAAAATTCAAAATGGCTGACTTCCTGTTCAGTTCAGCATATGGCTCAGAGACTTTTTTTGTCAGACAGTTACATGTACAGACGAACCTCATTACAGTGTACCTCGTGGGACATCACGAATCTGTACATTATAATGGTAGTTTGTTGTAACCATTTCCAATTAAATGGCCCCCAGCTAAGATATATGCAATATAATACATTATGAACATTTATAGATGTAAAAAACATGAACATGTAATACGCTATAAACATGTCAATTACAGTATGAAGAAAAAAATGTTTTGTAAGACATTAAACAAACTGTGGCATTGAAAAATCTGGTCGTTATAATGGATTTTATGTAATAAAGGTGTTCATTGTAAGCAAAATCGGCAAATGGAAAATGAGTTATGTGAAGTCAGGACTTTGAAATGTGAACGTTATTGGGGTGAAAAGAGGTGCAACTGTAGCTCCAAATGTTCTCAGTTCCACAGTTTCAAAATAATGTTTTTTTTTAACGTGACCACTATAAAAGGCCAAAAATGGGTCCAAACGTGAAAGAAAATTCAATATTGCAGACTTCCAGCTCTAGCATATGGTTCCAGGAGACTTAATTGTATGTCTTGGGCTGTTACATATACAATATCTCCAAAATTTCATCAATCTTGGTGACATGTTCATAAAAGATTTGGAGGGGGTGGTGTTGAATCTAATAAAATATTGATCCTGTGGCCAGGCGTGATGTGTTAGCAAAGTGTCATTAGTTTTTTTCTGCATATTTAGAACCGTAAAAGTAGTGTTGTTTTCTTGGCAAACGCCGCCTTGCCATGGCAACAGATTTTAGTTAAAATCCACAAACTTAGTGTTGCACTATCATTAAGGCTTAACACACTTCTGAGTAAATATGGGATAACATTTTCTTCAGCCAATATGTGGTGCTGCCACTATGATAAAAATAAAATTGTAGATGTCTTCAGGGCCAGTTTCATCAAGTGTGTCAAATATTGACAAAATATGATCATGTGGGTCAAGTTATAGCAGCTTTTGTTATCAACGAGACACCACATTTTAAAGTAAATTCAAAATGGCGGACTTCCTGTTAGGTTTAGCATATGTCTCCAAAAGACTTTTTGTAGGTCTTGGGCAGTTACATGTACCACCAAATGTTCATAGTTCTCGGTGAAACATACAACCGGTAATGGTTTGTTAAAAAGTGGCAAAATGGTCATTACCCAACCCAAAGGTTGGTAGTTGGATTCCGGTCCATTACGACCATGTCTAAGTGTCCTTGAGCAAGATACTGAACCCCCAGTTGTTCTTGATGCTGCATCATCAGCAGGTGAATGAGGTAACTCACGCGCCTTGAGGACCCGAGGTAGAAAAGTGATATACAAGTGACAGCCCATTGACCATTTGCCATTTTTAATTGCACAATAAACTAATAAAATATTGATGGTTTTGCTAGGCCTAGTATGTGTGTTTCATGAGTTGTTGTACATGTTTAGACCCTCAAAATCAGTGTTCTTTAATGGAGAACTGCGCCTTGTCACAGACTGTGGCAACAACATGAAGGCCTAAACAATCTTTTGATCAAATATTAGGTAAATTTTGTTAATCCGCTGGGAAAAAACCTCAAAGATTAAAACATATTTCCTTTAACCAGTAGTTGGCGCTTTCACTGAGATGAAAAATGGTTCTACATGGTCAGGCAAAATGATCTGACACATTTGTAGGTTAAATAAAAGGCAAATAAAGAAACAAAAAAAAAAGTTTTTATTTTCAAAAAATACATATGCCATTCTGTTTCATCATGTTTTAAAGATGAAATGGAGTTCTGGCGGTGCGAGGTCGGCTGGTTGATTTTCGTTTCAATGCAGATCCAGTAACTCTGAAGTTGGTAACCCATAACAAGATGGTGTTTCGAGCTGGTACGGGATCATGTCTACCAAGATTGAAGTATAAACGGAACACTCTTTGTGTTGCAGTTAGACATTAGTTTGTTTTGATAAACGTTTCCACAATGAAAGCGCAAGCTCACCAGTCCAATTCATGGCAACAACTGAAAAAGAAACAAAAATCAATGGCATTATCAGACACAAAGCAAAATGGCATTAGATGAAAAAGATGGCATTACAGTGAAACTCCTCTACAACGAAATCATGTTTGCAGCAAGAAATTTTTCACAACAGGGGGTTTTTCAGTGTACCAAATTTTATCTCAGGTGTAAACACACACACACACACACACACACACACACACAGACACACAAACGTATGTGTACTCTTTATTTTATTCCAATAGAGCATAAATATGAGCATACACTTATTTGACACTTCATATAGTCAGTGTAGCAATAAAAAAAAGGGAAAGAAATTGCGAAATTTACGATCAGAATTCACTTTCACTTACATCAATTTCTTGGATCATGTCTTTTATTTTGTTTCCTCCGTCTTTCATTTTGATCACTTTTACCCTCTCTTCCAGCCTCAGAGCTCTTCTTCTCTTAGCTGCTTGACATCCAAAAGTCCTTTTTGTAGCCATTTGAGCAATGCAACGTTCTTGCTGCGTCTGAAACTAACAATAACAAATACTTCCTGGACTACTGCGCATGTGTAAACCAGTGTGGTGGTTGCT